TGAAAATGATATTTCTCCGCTTAATTTAAATATTGGTGACGTTGAACCGAGTAAAACTTTAGACTTTAGTTGGCAATCACATACTGAGCAACTTTGTTTCCCTATAGGAGTGCTATTCTCAGGTAAAACAAAGCGTGATCTGTTATCTGTGATTTCTCAGATTTTTGATCCACTAGGACTTATATCTCCCTGTGTAATTGAGATGAAGATGCTTCTTCATCAGTTGTGGCTTCTCAAGCTGTCGTGGGTTGAGCAGTTGACACCAGAAATCAGCAAGAGATATGAGATAATAGTCGATTTGCCTAAATTAAATACTCTACGTATTCCACGTTGTGATATTTGTTACTCCACCCGCACTCAATCTTATTATAAGAATATTTCAGAGTGAATCATTTGAAGAGTACATCATGTTAATTAGAAATAAAAGCTTACCCACTGAAAGTCCATTGCATAAATTTAATGTATTCCTCAATGATAATAAAATAATGCGTGTTGGAAAATTGAAAATTCGAAATTCTTGAAAATTCTGATTTCTGTTATGACAAAAAACATCCCATACTTATACAGTCCACTCTTATGAGTACATAAGGTCAATGCACGTGGGACCATAGCAAATGTTGGCCACTATAAGAGAGATGTACTGGCCAATTAGAGGTCGCAATTTGGCCAGATCAGATTTAAGATGTAATAGAATGAAAGGAAAACCCATCTCTCCAATAATGGGCAACCTACCCCAGCAACGCGTCCTTTCTGGTTTTCCATTTCTAAATATTGGACTAAACTATGCGCGACCTTTTTAATCTGTTTCTCGCCATGGCCGGGGTTGCAAAATTATAAAGGTGTATATAGGTATTTTTATTTACTTCGCGACAAAGTCAATTCATCTTGAATTAGTGGGTGATTTAACTAGCAATACTTTCATATTACCTTTGCGCGGATTTATGTCAATAAGAGGGAAACCTCTTAATATTTATTCGGATGATAGTACCTTCTTTGTAGGCGCATAAAACAATATTTCAAAATTTATTAAGACGAATTGTAATTATTTGTCTGAGGTAATGGCAAATGAAGAAATTAATTTTCACTTTATACGGCTTATTCTCCTCAATTTGCTGGCCTTGCGGAGGCTGGTATCAAATGCATTAAATATTATTTAAAGTTTTGAGTGCTGGGCTATTGTAACTTGACATACAAGGAACTTAATACTATGTTAACATAAATTGATATTATACTTAACACCTTTGCAAACGAATCCCGAAGACTTCCTACCACTAACGCCCGGTAATTTTTTGATTGGACGCCCCTTGACTTCCTTGCCGATACCAGACTATAAAGATCATTCCGTAAGCTTTTTAACCCGATTTCAACAAATAGAACAATTACGTCAACATTTTTGGGCTAGATGGAACAAGTAATATATATGAGAGCTTCAACTGCGGATGAAATGGCGTCCCTGTAAATGTTCATGGAAGTTAGATTCACTGGTACTCTTAAAGGACGAGAATTTACTGCCATTAAAGTGAAAGATGGGTAGCTGGACGCGATCCAGGCTCGGACGGCGCATCAAGGGTGGCGGATATTAAAACATCGACTAGTATAGTTCGCCGATAATTTAGCAAATATTCGTACGCATCCTGAACCTGAAGAATCTGGTTGAAAGGTAGACTTTCAACGCCTGGGAGCACTTTGAAGCGCCTGTCAAATTATATTAGCAGTTCTCAGGCCAATATTAGTTCGTAAGCTGTGTAGGTATGTTAAAAATTATTGTACCTGTCGTCGTCGTAAAAATTAGAGATCAAGTAAAGGTCGATTGAGAAAATTACAGCATTTTATTATTAAAAAGTGATCATATCCCTATTCACCAGTCTTCGTGGTCACATTGGTGTATCTGTTTAACGGCTCCACCAACCATCACATTTCGCCCACGGTTTGTTACAACTAAGTAACTAACCGTGGGCGAAAAGTGATGGAAAGTTGCAAAATAATCTACGGTGCCTATTTTTTTATTTTATATGTTTTATTTCAGCATTAATTCATTCCTTCATCACAACCTATCGAAAGTCCACTGCTAAACTAAATCTCCCCCATAGATTGGTTCATAGGGAGATATTTGTCATAGTCTTGTCAAGCGGGATGACAACCGCAATTTATTATTATTTTGAGATATCATCACGTAAATGCTGCTGCTGCCCAAGATGGAAATTGGCTGTTAAATTCCCTCTGTCGCCTTTGACTACATCGTTCAAGACGTTTGTTTTTTATTTTTGATTCAATTTTAGATTCATACTCAATTTAGAGTGATTTTTTAAATTTTAAGGATCAGTGAATACTTTAATATAATTTTTTTTATTATAACTGTTTTTTGTATATTAAAGGGTTTTATGCAATATTTTTGTAGCGTCTAGACTTGATTGCTAAGCTTAGAGACCTTTAAGCTTTTTAATAACAGATAATAGTAAATAAAATTATTATGACGAAAATATAGGCTGTTACTTTTTCCTCATCGTGTTTAGGTGCTGATAAGATTTAGGTAGGCTTTATTAAACTTGTTTTTCTTTTATATGCAATCCATACATACAGCATGTACAACTCATTATCTGTTGTCATTGTCTTTACATTTTGTTTGTTTAATATTTTGAACGTTATATAATAGGTTAAATAGTAGGTAATAGGAACGTTAAATAATGCAAATTTCAATGTGCAGAAGACCTGTTTTAAATAAAAGTAATGTTTACTATATTTTTCATTTTTAATTAATGTGTGCACATTTAACAAGTAGTAGCTAAAATTATTTCTTTTTATTCATATATCTTACATTAACAATAAAATTCGTTATATCAAGTTATTTGTTACTTACACTTACTACACTTACTTAGTCGTACAATAGCAGCTAGATCATGGTTTTAAGTAAAAATATTGAATTAAAGTAATTTCATAACAGACAATTAAGTACCTGTAATATATTGATTTCATTTTGTGTTTAGATTTGAAGGAAAACATTTCAAGTTTATCTTTAAAAAAAGTGGGTACAAACTAAGTAACATTTTATAAAGTATATATTTATTAAGTACCTATATATTTACAACAAATTTACCATATTAAGCGCAGATAACTCAGTTTTGAGTATTGTTCTTAACCACATGTTATAACATAGCGTATTTAAGAAGAAAAACACAATTATAAATCTAGAACAGACTGCATTCTTAGGTACAATAAAATATGCTGAAATAATTATTTTTAAAACCTAACGGGATTAACATTAGTTTCTCTCAAAGAAATTCATTTCAATTTATTTTATTGATTAAGAATAAAATAAAACATACGTTTGTGAAAGGATTTTAAGAAAACTTAGTTTGGTTACGTATTTTTACGAGTAGTATTTTAATAAAATGCTATGTACCTTTCTAAATAAATCTATAACGAATAAAATATGTAATTAATGAAATCAATAATAACTGTTATTTTACAGGCAATGTTATATATTTATTTTACGTCTGATATAAATGCTATATATATTAAGTAATATTTACAAATTTAAGAAATATGTTTAATAATATATTTGTTTATTGATACAATACTGAAGAATCCTACTGTCTTCTTGTTACATATAGCTACACAATTTGGAAGCACACAGAATACGAGTAGATACATTGTACAATCGCATATCAACGTAACTAGTCCAATTCGTTAAATTAATAAGAAAAAAAAAACAAGTACTTATTCCTGTGTATGTTTTGACAAATTCTAAAATAAAATAAAAGATAAAAATAAAAATAAAATTGTTAATTGATAAAAACAAACACTAAAAAGTTATTTCACTACGGTTTTTAAAGATTTATTTTATTAATTGGCTTAACATAAAATAATGACATTTACGATGATATTTACAGGAGTCCCTGCCGGTATGACTGATATTTATTGTGGGATAGAATATAATATATTTCTTTAAGTCCCATCTCATAATTCATTTCATGACCTGAATAATTTATGTATATTATTCGTGTAGCTGTTATTGTGTCAGTTAAGTTACATTGCCATAAAATTACAAAGTTCGCGAAGTTTTATCTTTAAAGTTCTGATTAAAGATCAACCTCTAAATAAGTGAAAAGGGAAATATGTGATATTGTAATATACCATATACATCTTATAAGAATAATATGTGCAAATTATACCAAAATTATTATATAACATAAAAGCTTCATAAAATAGTGTTAGAAGCTTTTGATTTAAAATAAATAACTTTATATTTAAAATAAGAAAATATGTTTTATTATATTAAACATATATTTTTATTGAGGCTATGTTATGTTATGGCTGCACCACAAATGGGTCTGACCGAGGAAAGACTTAACGGAAGGAATTGTAACGCTGCTATGTAACGTATGGCGAGTATGACAACCGGCGACCATTTTTACTGATAACAAAACATTTTATATTTGTCCTCAGGGCTGACAATGCGTCTCAAATTTCATTCCTAATCCACGATAGAAGTAAGTGTATTTGGGCCACAGCATTCACTTACTATCAGGTGGAATGTGTACTTGTTTTTTCACGCTTATTCTATAAAAACGATTTTCGGAAAGAACCAAGATAGGCAATTAATAATATTTTATTCGCATTGAAAACATATTGCAGCAACTATTAATAAAAAATCGATCTAAACGTACTGTATTGTCAATAGAGAAAGCACACAAAATACACTAAAGTTGATACAACAGTATGTACAATAAATTATTACAATAATACCTAATAAAAAAAAGTGTTGACCAACCCCAGTTTCATCAATACTGCTATATTCACTACTGTTTTTATTTATTGTCATCTTAAGACAATTGAGAATGATAAACAATTTCAAGCTTCTATCTTTTTTTTTTTTCAATTTCCATTTCTAATTTGTATTATTCTGGTCCTTTGTTTTGCTACAAATACGTTGTTGCAGATATGTCATGTTTTGTTATTTTTATACACATATATTACAATTAGTTTCACCACCCAGGTATTCACGTTGTTGGAGTACAAGATCCATCAAGACACTTAAGACCTGGTTCGCAAGTCCCTCTAAATCCACCACAATCTTCACCAAGTGTTCTTGCACAAACTTTGCAGCACCTGATGACATAAAGAAGCATGATCAATTTAATTTATTTATTTATATAGATGTTTGATTCAATTTATATCCAACTAAATTATTATCATATTCATACATCTTTATGTCCCAGAATCAAAGTATGAAAAGACAAACAATAGTAAATTGCATGCAAATCATAATTCTAAACTGTTCTTATTTTTTCATTTAAAAAATCTAAGCAATGCTATTATGAAAATATTTTTATGACAATAAATTGATCACAACTAAAACATTTTTAATCTTTCAGTTTTGAAGCTATAACACGGAATAAAAAGCTTTAAGTTTGTAGCTTTTTATTTCAAATATAATAATATAAATTTTTGGGTTATTTTAATGTGCGTATATATTTTTAAAGGTGAAAAAGGGAAACAGGCAGGAGATGGGCAGCAGCATCTTCCTGATAACAGCAAAAATACAATAAAAAAACTGCGCTTGCCAACCCGCTCGCCAAGCGTGGCAGCTATGGCAAATACTCCCCATTGATGAGAGCAAAAAAAAAGACATCAGTTCAGTTCCCGGCAGCCCCGCTATTCCTGGCTACGGTGGCGACCATGGTAACGGCGGGGCAGGGGGTGCTAAGAATCTCCGGTGGAGGTTTGGTTGCCACCTACGACGACTCGACCTAGCAACATACAACGCACGCACCCTGAGGATTGACGAGAAGATTGTGGGGCTGGAAAAAGAGATAGACAAGTTACGCTGGCATATTATAGGATTATCCGAAGTCCGAAAAGAGGGGGAGGAAACGGTAATCCTCGAATCTGGCAACTTCCTCTATTACTAGGAGGGCGACCATCTGTCCCAAGGAGGTGTCGGATTTATCGTCCACAAGTCTCTCGTTAACAACGTTGTAAAGATCGAGAGTGTGTCGACGAGGGTTGCATACCTTATACTCAGAATCACCAAACGGTATTCGCTGAAGGTCATACAGGTTTACGCACCAACCTCGGCACACCCCGATGAGGAGGTGGAGGAAATGTATGAGGATATCTCTAGAGCCATGCATTCCTCCAAAACCCAATATACGGTGTTAATGGGAGACTGCAGTGCAAAACTAGGCACAAGAGAGAATGGTGAGCTGGAAGTAGGGAAATTTGGAATAGGGCAACGGAACCCAAGGGGCCAGCAGCTGGCCGACTTCATGGAGAAAGAGGGACTCTTTATGATGAACTCTTTCTTCCAGAAGCGGCCCCACAGGAAGTGGACCTGGTCGAGCCCCGACGGTTCGACAAATAATGAGATTGACTTCATTATGACGACCAGACGACAACTGTTCAGTGATGTCTCAGTGATCGCGAGGTTGAAAACCGGCAGTGATCATCGAATGGTTAGAGGCACACTGAACCTAAACGTTAAGTTGGAGAGGTCTCGTCTAATGAAGTCAACGCTCCGTCCCCCTCGTTTTCTGTTCCAAAGTCCCGAAACCTTTCAGCTCGAGTTACAAAACCGTTTTAAGTGCCTGAAAGACTGCAATGAAGTGGGCGATGTGAATGATAAGCTCGTGGAAACTTTCGGAGCTAAGTTCAGCAAGACCCGCCGCAGAAGAACACAAAAACTCTCCGATCACACTCTCAATCTCATGGCTGTTAGACGGGAGATGAAGCTACATTCTTCAACTTACGCAACTTCAATATAGCGTGTATTGAAGAAGCGATCGAGCGGAACCAAGGCTCTAAAGTCTTTGCCAGAGATCTGTCTGCCAGAAAGAGCCAACTGTCAAAGCTTAAGACCGAGTGTGGCAGCATCGTTTCCGGGACACCTGAGATTTTGAGTGATATTGAGAGGTTCTATTGGCAGCTGTACACGTCGTCGTTGGAGCCACACGCAAGTGTGAGTAACGATTCAAGAGCGAGTCATATACACTATTCCTAAGATATCCCGGACGTCAGTCTGAGCGAGATTAGAATGGCTCTCCAGCACCTTAAAAACAGCAAGGCCCCAGGAGAGGATGGAATTACAGCGGAGCTTCTGAAAGCGGGTGGAAGACCGGTACTTGAAGTCCTTTAGAAGCTCTTTAATTCCGTCCTCCATGGTGGCATTACACCGGAGGCGTGGAGCAGAAGTGCGGTGGTCTTATTCTTCAAGAAAGGTGACAACGCTCTTTTGAAGAACTACAGACCGATTTTCCTTCTGAGCCGCGTCTACGTGCTATTTTCGAGAGTCATTACGAATTGTCTCGCGCGCAGACTTGACGACTTCCAGCCTCCTGAACAAGCCGGTTTCCGAAAAGGCTTCAGTACCATAGACCACATACACACACTTCGGCAAATTATACAGAAGACAGAGGAGTATAATCGGCCACTTTGCCTTGCGTATGTAGACTATGAGAAATTTTTTGATACCGTCGAAATTTGGGCGGTGCTGCAGTCCCTTCAGCGGTGCCAAGTTGACTGTCGGTATATCGAAGTGCTGAAGTGTTTCTACAATAGAGCTACGATAGCAATCCGAGTACAAATTCAGAGAACGAAACTTATCGAACTGCAGAGAGATTTAAGACAGGGCGACATCATATCCTCGAAACTCTTCACCGCTGCATTGGAAGACGTTTTCAAGCTGCTGGACTGGAAAGGATGCGGTATCAACATCAATGGCGAGTACATCACTCACCTTTGATTTACCGACGATATAGTCCTTATGGCAGAATCGCTGTAGGACCTAATCACTATGCTCGATGACTTGAATAGTGTCTCCCAACGGATAGGTCTTAGGATGGACATGGACAAAACAAAGATCATGTTTAATGTCCATGTCACACCTGTGCCGGTAGTTGTTGGGAGCACTAAGCTCGAAGTCGTTGACGAGTATGTTTACCTGGGACAAATAGTCCAAATAGGTAAGTCCAACTTTGACCAAGAAGTCAATCGACGGATTCAACTCGGCTGGGCAGCGTTCGGGAAACTACGACACATCTTCTCGTCAGACATACCTCAAAACCTTAAAACGAAATTGTACAACCAGTGCGTGTTGCCAGTGATGACTTACGGATCTGAGACGTGGTCCTTCACTGCTGGCCGTATGAGGTAGCTCAAGGTCGCTCAGCAGGTGGCTCAGGACCGTGTTTTGTGGTATTCCTTGGGGAAGGCCTATGTTCAGCAGTGGACTTATGAAAGGCTGTAATGATGATGATGATGATGATGATGATGATAATCCTCTAGTCAACCTTAACCTTTATTTATACTATTCTTAGATAAATCTTTCATTTTGGAAACCAGCTTGTAATAAGCGTTGTTTTGGGGTTCTATTTAAAATACCAACCGGAGAAATTATTTCTTTTGCGATCTAAAATTCATATACCCTGATGATATTTTATTACACTCTAAAGATGAAAGACACATACGAGATGAATTTTTGTTGCTTTTTTCGGTAATAGTAATATATTATTAAATTTTGAAGTTTTGTGCTAACCTGCATGGATCCCAAACAACTTTTCCAAGTCCAGGACAGCCGCTCGGTTCAAGTGCTTCACACTCTCTAGGATTGCAGACACAATCCCATCCTCGAACTGCACTTGCAAGTACTACTACGGCGACCATCGCCAGCCACCGTTTGTTTTTGTTCATTCTGCTTTTTACATCAGACTTAATACAAAATTATGTACCAAAAGTTTTACATTTTACTCCCCAGTACATTTCTGCACATGCTCTGATGTTCAGTATTCATTTTAGATTATTTTCTTGATCTGAAACAATAATCACAATATTATTTTAATTAGATATTTTATGTAATATAAATAATTTTTCACAAAAATTAAATAATAAATAATACTTTTCATAAAAATTATGACTCAGTTTCGATACTAAAGCGGTTTTAGGCCGCGTGATTTTTGAAAGAGGCCGCAATTACATTATCATAAGTCTTACTCTACTCAAAATCGTAGAGCAACATGTGCCACAAGCGTTCCAGTCTGCCGATGGCCCGTGTTTCTCTGTGCATATTATCAATGATCATAAATAATTAGTTGTATGGTGCATATCATATTTGACAACATGCCAACGAAAATGTTCATATATACAGGATTAGTTCTAAAGAGTAGTAATTTTATATTTAACTTCAAACATATAAATAATGACACCGTTATTGAAATTTTTAAAAATACTTGTACGAGAGTATTGCATGATATATTAACAAAGTTTTCGTATATATACATAATATATAATAATAAATATATAAATACGGCTGAAGAAAACGAACTTCAGCCGTATTTATATATTTAGTCCAACTTCGAATGAAAATCAGTTGCTTAACGGTGAAAAATGAGAAATCTATAGGAAACTAAGGGGGCAATTGATCAAGGTACAACTAAATAGGTCGCTCGCGCAAATAATATGCGGCTGGTGCTAATTTTATCATGAGGCAGAGGTAGAAGAGACTTCTCCTCTCCTACGCATGCGCACTAAACCGCTTGCCCCACTTCTCCGCAGCAAGAAAACACACATCACTGAACACGTAGTGCTTAATAAAAAATGTTGTTTCTTAAAACTGTAACAACTTTATATTAAATGAAGATATCACTATATTTTTTTAGATAAGAGCCAAGTATCTAAGAAATAAAATTTAGAAAACTTAATTCAAATCTATACAGTAGTATTTTCGTGATGCGTGCACATCCACAAATATTTTATTTATATAGGTTATTCCAAATTGAATGTGATTTATAGGCAACAACTACGCATATGCTCGCTCCTCTGTGTGCATTTCAATTCACTACGCTTTTGCCCACCAAACGACCCTCAAAAATGTGTTCGTGCGTAGTAAAGTAGTAAATTACAATGCATTCTGAATTTAAAAGATAAAAAAGACAGAATGGTTGAGATTTTTTAATAAATTTTTCTTCACGAATCGCCTATATTACTTATTCTGAACTTTCTCTGCAAATCGGAGCGCATATTGTGCATAACCCTAAATAGCCGCAAAACATGAAATAAAAATGGTGTAGAAATGCAAGACATTTGAATGGAATATTTATAAGAAAAAATTGTTGATTAAGCTCTATGCTTTGCAATATATGAAGTCAATTTTAATAAAATATAATCAAATACGTGCTCATCCATTCGGAAATATGTTTCATAAGAATCTGCATCTTATACTCACAATTCTACGAGTAAAATATTGTGAATGCCTTTATTTTAGCGCCATCCTATGACAAATATTGACATCATATTTCTATTAAAACTATATTGCGGTGCGTACATATTATATAACATAACATATTATAAAACTTTGTTATATACCATGTTTCAGTAATGTGGAGGCTGAATGGTATAAAACGTGTTATATCACGTGACACAAATGTTATATAACTCGAACGGCAGAACGACAAACGACAATGTCATATAAAATTGTTATATTGCATTGTTATTCTAATGTGTACAGTATCGTTATATGTTGCAATGTTGGAAAACAATGTTATAAAATAACATGTTACTTGATCTGTACGCACCCGTATACAACATGTCTCGAAACTCAACGTCAAGCGGGCACGGGGCAAGAGGGGGGGGGGGGCTTCATACTAACCCCAGGAAAAACGAAAAATAAATCCATATCAGATAGTTCAGTTATAATTGACTAATTTATGAAAATAAAGAAAATCGACACCTTAAATCATAAGTATTGTGACCACGGATTTTCTCAAATTGTGATTTTTTTTCACTAACATGGTTGTTAAATGGTCACGGTTGGTAAAACATGCTATTAATCACAGTCACATATCAAGCAAAAAAAATTGCTAAGTAAGTTAAAATTAACGTAGTTCCTTTTAGTCGTAGTTGAATAAATAATATCACCTGTCTTTGACTCATCATTAAAAATTAGCCCAAGCTCCTTCAAAAGATGGCCCATTTATCGTAGATTTCGAAATAGTGTAATACTTGTCACTTTTCATCTTTAAAAATTAAATTAATTTGATTTTCTGAAATAAGACAAAAAAGCCAAAACAGTTCCACACATAAACCACAATACATTTCATCTATTAAATATTGAATTCAACAAAAGCAATGTGACAGAAATGTTTTTGAATGAAACTGATAATGACGCCATTTCACGTGAGTTAGAGCGAGACAGGTAAAGTACTATTTGATATTTAACCAAATTATGTTAGATTGCATTTTAAAAAAGCAATTCTATAAAATAACGGTGGTACAGGCACGCGGCAGATTTTGCTGTTGCAAGTATGGGCCTGCTCGAGCCGGGTTGGTACTACGACCTCACAGAATACCGGCGTGAAGTGGCAGCTCTGCTTCTGCGTTTCGTCTGGTGAGTGCAGGTGGCCGGAGGCCCGATCCCCCCACCCCATCAACACGGTAGCGGAATTAATTGAAAGACTACCCCAGGAGGGTACCAGCACCCCTGGAGAATCTTGGATGAGCATCCACAACCATGTTATTCCAACCCTGAGCGTGGGTGCTCAGGCTGCTCCACGTATTCTGGGGGAGAGGGAGGGGAATTCCGCTCAAAACAATATCTGCTCGAGGCAAAATGAGCAACAGGACCAAGGCGACCCCTGCCACGCTATCCGTGAATTTCTACAATATGAGGGACTTCACTCGAATCCAAATGCCGTCCACTACCACCTCAAGACGGTGAAGCCGGCCTTGCTCTTTCTGAACGAGACGCAGGTGTCCTCTCCGGCTGATACTTCGAATCTTTCCTAGCCGGGGTACGAATTGAAACACATCTTTCTGCCTCAGGCTGGAGTTTGCGTACACGTCAGAGAGGACATCTGTTCTCGACGCCTCGGCAGTCTTTAAGGTTCGGACCTGTCCATCCTTTGGCTACGCGTAGACAGCGACGACCATCCTCTATAGGTCCCATAGCGGTAATGCCAAAACAACCCGAGTCATTGACCACTACAAATTCCTTGCTACAACAGGTCCAATCCGCAGAGATCGTGATCCTCGGCGATTTTAACGCCCACCACGGTGAATGGCTGGGTTTAGGTTTAACCAATTATGCAGGGAGATCTGTACAACATTTTGCCTTGGCATATAGTCTGACACAACCGCGGATTCAAGATGTGGAAGATCATGCGACTTCCCTGTGGGACCTTCTGCTGGACTGGATCCGGACAAATATCAGGTTTCCGTCGACGCCCCCCTTGGCTCCTTGGACCATTGTCTAGACCAGACTATGGTGCCGCTCACGCTGAAATCGTGCTTACTTTCTGTAGGCTGCCGCCGTATTTGCACTGTAGTTCGGCCTATTGGAATGGGATGCAGCCTTTCATTGCATCCTACCCTTGGGGCCGGGTTTGCTTCTTGCCCGACGATCCCAACGTTGTTGCTAATTCTGTTGCTTATGTGGTACTTTAGGGTATGGAACTTTTTATTTCTTCCTCCATGGTGCCCATCGGAGGTAGATCTCAGCCATTGTTTAATCGCTTCTGTAAAATAGCATCACGCTACAAGCAGGATAGCTACCGGGCCTGGACTGACGCGTCAACATCCTGGGATGTAAACACCAGAGCTCTTAAATAGAAGTATAATTCCGCCTCCAAGTCGTTCAAAAGAATCATTTCCAAGTCAAAGTTAGAGCACATATGCAGAATTGGCAAGAAACTCATTCGCCTCCCTTCGGGAACCCGTACATTCTGGTCTCTCGCCAAGGCTATCCAAGGGAACTTCTGTCAGCTATCTCATCTATTTCTGCACAGGGTGGACGACTCACTGGCCCATGCCACAACGGAGAAAGCCGATTTGCTAGGTTCTTTCTTTGCATCCAACTTGACTTACGATGACAGGGGGAACACACCGCCGACTTTCTTGCGGAGTGAGTGCTCCATGCCGGATGTGCGGTTCACACAGCGTTCGGTTCGCAAAACACTCCTCTCCCTGGACATTCACCAGTTGGCCTGACGGTATTCCACCAATTGTGCTAAGGGCGTGTGACCCGGAATTGGCACCGGTTCTAACGCGTCTATTCCGGTACTCCTACCTCCTAGTCATAGTCCCGAAATCATGGTAGACTGCTTTTGTCCACCTGATCCTTAAAAAAGTCGACCGCTCAGATTCGTATAACTACAGGCCTATCGCAATTACCTCCTTGTTCACTAAAATAACAGAATCCAACAGCATGGGCGGTACGTTGAGAATCACCAGCTGATTGGTGACCGCCAATACGGTTTTCGTCGGGGTCAATAAGCTGGTGATCTTCTGGTCTACCTGATTCATAGATGGGCGGAGGCGGAAGGGTGGAGTCCAAGGGGGAGGCATTGGCCGTTAGTTTGGACATTGCGAAGGCTTTCGATCGGGTTAGGAACAAAACGCTTGTTTTGAAGCTCCCTTCCTTTAGGCTTCCCGAGTAATTGTGCGATTGGCGATTCACTAGATTTCTTGCTGATCGGAGCATCAAGGTCGTTGTAGAGGGTGCATGCTTCGACTACAAGCCTATTAACGCTGGTGTTTCGCAAGGCTGCATGCTATAACCAACGCTGTTTCTTTTGCATATAAATGATATGTTGCATACCAGTAACATTCATTGCTATGCGTATGATAACACTGATGATGCTTTATATACCGGTCGTAACAATATTTATCGAGAAAACGTAGCCGAGTACCGGAACAAA